TGGTCTTGAACTCACTTTGTAGCCAGGCTGGCCTTGAACTCACGATGATCCTCCTGCCTCAGCCTCCCAGCTGCTGGAAAGATAATGTTCTTGAGGGGAGTGTTAATGAAAAAGCTTTGTGTTTACAAATTTTTTTCATTTTAGGACTTGCAAAAGCTTATACAAGAACGAGATCAGGTTTCTGGGCAGTGCAGGGGTGCTGGAGCTCCTTTCCTAAACCGCCTGCCCTCCATCCGGAGCCAGCATAAGTACCACTTGCAGAAGGCCTTGCCAGTGTCGCAGACAGGGAACTGCCGCACCATGGCGTACTGCGGCGCCCTGAGCTGCCTGGTGGTCTCACAGCCTTCTCCTCAGGCCACCTTCGTCCCAGGTAAAGGGTGCCGCATCCTTGTTTCTGTGTTCCTCGCAGACTCTGGTTGTTCCTGTTCTCTCCCTCTTAGAAGAACCCAGGACTCAGTAATGGATGAACATTGATCACAGGCCACTGTCCCCTCTTCCTGTGGGTTCACAGTGAGCGCAGGTGCTTAGAGCGCTGCTGTCACCTTCACTCTCAAAGTGTGTTCACCACGGAGGTAGAAATACTGATGGTGATAGTGGTGGAGGTCATTACCGTACTGCAAAGACAAGGGTGTTGTACCTTATATGTCCCGTCCCTCTTACAGACCTGGGGGTTAGTTCAAATTGGAACAAACTTTGATACTTATTTCCAATAGCGTTCAACTCGACAAACTCCAAGTAAGAATTTGTAGACTGTATTATTTTATTAATACAAACACTGATTTTTCTCACCTTTTATGCATTTAAAGCAATGTGCATTGCCGTAATGCAGAAAACCGAATGTCCACAGCAGGATGTGGTGGCACATACCTGTAATCCCAGCACTCAGGAGGCTGAGACAGGAGGACCACCTAGTTTGAGGCCAGCCTGGGGCTACATAGCGAGACCGTGTCTCAAAAAACAAGACAAAAAAATAAAAAATCAAACGTCCTCACATGCCAAACTGAATTGTTCCTAAGCGTTGGGGGTGTTTCTGTTGCCTGCGGTGTATGATTTCTGCCGTCTTTGAGACTCCTTCAGCTTTATTTTCTGTTTCCCCACTTAGAAGTTTTATTACTTTGAAACTGTACCCCCCAGACTTAGGGGTTCATAGGTCTGGGGGTGAAATCCCTACATTATTGCCATAATCCCTAAATTATTGACATCCCTGTTATTACTAATCATAACAGATGTAAGTTAAGAGGCCATGAGGAGCCCCCTGTTGAGCAGATAGTAAAAGGATTGTTTATAAAACATTTTCACATCTAAGAAGATAATAAAAAGATTGATCATCAAATAAAAACTTCCCCTCTAATGTTTCTCAAATTGAGTGCACATTCTGTTCCTTTTTTCATAATATTCTGTGTTGATTCTAGTTTCTGTATAGGTCTGCTAGATGACTACTAGTACTAATTTGGCCTTGTTTTTATTTTATTTTTTATTTATTGGTCTTTTTGAGACAGGGTTTATGTATTGATTGATTGATTGATTGATCGTCTTGAGACAGGGTCTCGCTGTGCAGTGCAGGCTGTACCTATTAGAGGGGTTAAGAGTTTTATCAGAGGTGGGGGATACCGACCCCAGATAATGACCTCTCC